AGGCACCTACCTAACTGATCCCTTTGCACTGAATAGAAAGCATAGGTTGGAAAGCCAGGTAGTCCCTTTGGTAGATATAGCCAGAAGTATTGGTTTGAAACCTTACAACGTGATATACCGGCAAATTAGGGGCAGCATGTAACCTCACTGGCCAAGGCCCAGAACAGAAAATAAATCGAATGCCCTCCCCCCTCCCCCCACCCCGCTCAACCTACAAATGCCCCCCTCTAATCTTTGCTTAAATGGAGGAAGGAATATCAGGTAAATAGCCTTGCTAGTGTGCAGCTATAACCAGCAACAGAGCAGGGCTGAGCATATCAAACTAAGTGAGAGCTGTGATAATGCAGCCCTTAGTCAGCAATTGCATGTTGTTTGCAACTAGCAACTATTTTCTTTTAAATATAATTACATATACACACACATGATTTCTTTATGTCCTGATTCCCTTGAGTGGTATTATAGTGATAACTAATGTATTCTTCAATAATACAGAAATAGCAGACAAGATATCTTCAACTAAAATAGACTTTCTAAAGCACCTTGGTTCTAAAATGTCTCAGGAAACCCTCAGGAATAAATACAACTGCAAGGCAAAGATGCCTTGCAATAATATACCACACACACCACAAAGTGCTAGTTTGGATTAAGGAGTAGCTTGTGTGTCTGTAGAATTACAGAGCAAAATGAGTCAGAACTTGAAATCTATATTCCTGGACAATTTCAGTAATCACAACAAGAGCAGTTATAAGAGTTTTAAGAGTCATTTTGCCCTGAAATGTATACCATTTCAGAAATGTCACATGCCCTTTCTCTGCCAAGTAAGAAAGCTGAAAATACTTTAAAAGGGTGTTTTCATACTACGTTCCAGAATGTATAATCTTATTTCTTGTATTGTTTGTGGCTCCTTTTCTATTTAGTAGGAAAACATCAAAATGACACATGATTGTGAAGTGTTTTAGAAAGATTTGATCATGAGCATATCAGTATAGTGAATGGTACACGGGCACAATGTAGTTTAGTGGGTGAGTGGGCCTCTAGGAAATGTAGTATAGAATTTACCTAGGAGGAGCAGAAGCTTTTAAGCCATCGTTTTAAGCCACCATTGTACCCCCCTGATCCTGGACTGCTGTGTTGACTTAGCTATTGCAGACAGCCTGCAACTATTGTAGTGCTATTAAAAGTGTATGTAGTGTTATGAATCACAGCCCTGACCCCATCATTCCACTTATGCTTGGGCTTCCAAATGGAAGGCAGTTGGTAGCTATATTTGTCAGTTCCTGCATTTTGGGAAGTTCTCCCTTGCTTGAATCCATGACTTTTGAGTTCTTCTGTCTTGACCTGGCCTTTCATCTCCAGAGCAGAGAAGGGAATCTCAGCCAGTCCAACAGCTCACATGTGTTAGTACTTGTGAATCATTTGTAGAATCAGGCTTAAACCTTCAATTTACCTTTGTTTTTCTGGGTTTCAGAATATCAATACATTTTCAGTACAGAATATTAATATTGTGCAGTATCATTTGTGTTCATGCGTCATGTTGTCTACTTTCTCCAACCTCTATCCCAGATCTGGTGCCTAGGGAATGAGACTCGATTTCACATCAACAAAACAGTAGATGCAGCCATTCGCTCTGTAGTGATAGGTGGCCTATACCCAGGTATTCAGTACCGAGTGGAAGTTGCAGCAAGTACCAGTGCAGGTGTTGGAGTAAGAAGTGAACCACAACCCATAATAATTGGTAAGTGATTGTTTATTCTGTTGTTTTGTTTTGCCTGTTTAGGTTTTCATAAATGCTTTCATAAATCACATTAGAAGGCATAAAAATCCATGGAGCAAAAGACTAGGTGCAGTTCAATTTGAGCTATTTAACTTTAACTGTACCACTGCTTGCCTCTTCTTCTGTATAGTTTTCACACTTAATAAGATGAAATAGTTCTTCCTCCCTTGAAACATATTAAAAAACATAGATTATCTTGCGAAGCTGACTTAATACTTTATTATGAATTTCCCATCCTGCAGGTTGACAGATTTATAGAACTAGCCACTAAAGCTCTCTCCTTATCCTGTTAAGATGATTGT